TTCTTTGAACCAAAGGATTTCCTCAGGATGACGCTGGGGCTATCTGGAGCTTCCAGGTACATGAGTGGCGTCTGGATTGGTTCTGGCGGTTGATTGATCAAAACTCCCATGCACGTGTATTGATTTTCTGTATTTCCTTTTACACCCTGAAGAAGCATTCCAGCAGCGACACCCTGCAACGGCACCCTGCAGCGGATGACAGCAGCACCCTGAAGCAGTACCCTGCAGCAGCACCCTGCACCGGAGCTCCAAAGCACACACACCACTCTAACAGCAGCACCCTGAGCAACACCCTGCAGCGGCACCCTGCAGCGGCAGCGGCACCAACATGCCCGCTCCAAAACACACATAATCATAATCATATCATATCCAACTCATCCTATACTTGAAGTAAGAACCCCAATATCTGGGGAAAAAGGTGAAGCAACCGGACCATTGACATGGCTATTGACGTGGCTATTGACGTGGCTGACTGATGCCGATTCTTCCAATCTGAGAGGCTGTTGACATTGAAACCCTTCGTTTGTTGCGGCTGCTTGGTCTAGCTGGGAGGGCAACCTATTTTTACACACCATTTTTATCATATGAAATAACTTTTTGGGGGTTGGGTCCAATGAGTGTCCTCACGCAGTCACCCGCCTGCGGCATCTTTGCGGTGGACTGGTGGAAGGCATCCGCAATCTGTATAAATGCAGCGTCCTGCTCCAGCTTAGACACGGAGCCAAAGAAGTGGATGGCAGTCATGGCCCCTGATGCCCCAACCAGTTCCCAACAGGGATGAGCAGAACAGACTGCAACCAATAAGACCATGTAAGAGAGTACTCCTTCTTTAAACATCCATTTCAAACAACTTTCCCAGCTTTCCCAGTGACATTGGTCCGGCACTTCGAACCAGATTTGGATGAAGGGAAGATCAACCAAAAAACGGGAAGCCCCAGACGGAGGGGCAAAACACAACACAGATCCAGGGCCAGCGCCCCATCCATTCATCACTCCGTCCTTTGAAAAATTGGCCGCGGCTGGTGGGCGCTGCTCTGGAGATCCTCCCACTTTCAAACCTGGAGCTCCAAAGCCCAAACGCAGCTGGCGGCCGGTTGGAAAAAGACATCTGAACCGTATGGTTTGCCAACATAAACGGGAAAATACTAGTTCTTTGCTTTCTATGGTACAATGTTACAATGTTGATTAAACTTGGGAATACACTCAGCGAGGCCTGGGATCCGCAGGAAAGGTTGCAACTTTGGAAGGCATGCAAACCACTAAACCACTAAACCTCAATGAAAGTATAGGGCAGCAATGGGCAGCATAGGTATAAAACACCCATTCTTCCATGGGAGATTTACAGCGGCTCCATGGCTGCACCTGCAAGTTTCAAGCCTGGAGATGGAGCACCTGGCTGGAGTCGGCAACCAAGTGGAAATTCACGGGCACCCGGTGGATTTCACTGAGTTGCTTTGTGATGAACTAGCCAACTGAGTTACTGGATACCACTCGGGCAACTGATTGACTATGATTTACTCTGCATGGGTGCGAGTGCAAACTGCATCAGAATTCCATCGCAAACCTTAGCCCTCAAAAAGTCATTTTACTGAACCCATTTCACCCATTCATTTTAATATATCATTCACCGAGGTTTTCTAAGAAACAGCCTCCAAGATAGATCAAGACACATTGATAACCTTTCTTCCCTCTAAGCGCTGGCCTGAGGTCTCTGAGGATGGCCTACCAGGCCTAGCCCACAAACTTCCCACGTTTCACTCAGAAACTCCTTGGGTTTTCAGCATCCAATGTAATTATCAGCTTCCTACATATTTTGCCTCGAATCCTCGCAAGTGAGCACTATCAGGTCAACTGGCTTACAGCTCGGAGGAAATTGTCTCACTCGCCCATTATGTAAATGGGTCCTGACCTGATGATACCTGTGATATCCTGTGATAAATTGTTAAAGAAGACCCCAAATCATTTGGGGTCTATCTACCATTTGCATTCCATTTGCATCCATTTCGATGCGCATCCCAGTTGATAAATCATATACAACTCAGTTGTATGAACGGGCCAAGTGTGGAGAATCAAAAAAAGGAAGAGTTCATTCCGAAGAATGACACGCCGCAGTCCCCTGGCTTTTCAATTTTGGCAGCCCACCCACCTGGGCTCTGCAGAGTTTTCGGACTCCTCCTGATGGTGTGGGAGTCCGCAAGACGACGCAGATGAAACTGGGGATTAAACCAACAATGGAGATTTGATCGACGAAATATTGGATGTTACAAATTGCTGTGCTTACAATTCCCCTATCAAATCCCTTGATTCAGGCCTTCTGAAAGTTCTGCTGGGGTTCCATTGGAGAGGTACCCTTGAGATCCCTTGGGCCACGGCGGCCCCCGTCCTTGGACTCGCTCTCCGCTTCCACCAGACCCTCGATGCCCGCCGTGCCAGGCTCCGCCGGCTCCGCCGGCTCTGCCTCGCCTGGAGGCGCCGGCTCGGCGGGGGACTCGGGGGACTCCTGGCGGCCAGATTTCACCTGGAAAAATTGGTAGATTGACGTATGATATACGTATGATTAATATATTCTTAAGCTGCAGATGTATGAACCTCTGAAAAAATGGCTGGCTGGGAAATCTTCGGTATATCTGTGGTTTTTCTGTGGAATTCATCTGTGTTTGTACCTAAGTCCTATATGTATCTATATGTGATATGCACAAGTTAGACTGGCACAAGGTAAAATCACAATCACTTCGGGAGCAAACTGCGAATAATGGGGGCTTAGCCGATCCATTCTTCACAAAGACAAAGGGCCCGTGCTCAGTCCCTAGTTCTGCCAGCGAAGGAATACCGCAAGCATCGTTTTTCCCTGATTAGAATAGAATACACTGAATACACCACATCACCTCCTATCATGTTTACTCAAGAACACCATGAAATCATGAAACACGCATCCATGTTTATTAATAATTCCACTAGTATCCCCGCCTTGGGTTTGCTGTTTACTTTGCTGGTTTTCAAAATCTTCCAGCCGGTTGCCCGGGAAGCAACGCTGGCCACAGAGAATCTCCTGCGTCTCTTCGGGCTCCACGGCACCGGTCTCTTTGGTTTCCTCCGACTCTGCTTCGTTTCCCCTGCGGGCTCGGAAGATTGGAAGGGTTGCAGCTCGAAACTGGCTTCTGCAAAATCCTTTCCAAGATCATGGAATGAAGTAAGGCGTCAAGATCAGAGAGAATCATGAAATGGATGTTCCATCCTCTTTGAAAAAGTTCGGCATCGTTTGAGAACCGCAAATTCCAGAGGAGGAGATTCAATACACTGCTCCTTTCATCATGAACCCTACTAAATGACCAACGGTTATGATTAATTATATATCAGTTGACAGTGGCGACCGCCCAAGCAAATGATTGTCCGCACTCCAGTCAACATTCCTGGCCACAATGCTCCCATACTGGTCTTGTTGTATTGCGACAATCACACACACTTCCCAAAGTTGACATGCTTTGAAATTTGCTTCACACATGTCTAAGACTCTAAGACCCCGATTGAGTATGGCAGCTTATGGCAGCTTTGTTGGGGCTCCGATTCCCCTTCGAGGCGTACCTTTCAGTGCCCTTCGGAGCAGCCGGAGCGGCCGGAGCAACTGCAAGCCTGCGGCGTGGACCCAGAACTCGTTTCGCCGTTTTCGCTGGGTTGATGCTAAATGTTTGATACACAAGGGATAAGGGAAAAATAGGGAAAGTCTATCGGAAAAACCTGGTTTCGTACCCGTAAATGAAATGGCTTCTGCAAGGTCCAATAGATTCAAATGGGATTCGATTTGTACGCACTTCCCTCCACCTCCGAGTCCTTAAACTCCAGTCACCCCAATGACCAGCCTATCTCTGGGTCCGGCCTCTCCAAGGTTGCACTCAGGCTGAACACCTTGCCAAGGGATACATCTGCATACTGTGTTTCTGTATCTAGACATCTATGCGTACATGGGCGCACATATGTGTCTTGTATCTTCATACTTCTGCATGCGCATATATATATACATGTGTGTGTGTGCGAATTTATTTGTTTCTTTGTTCATTTATTTATCTCTCTCTCTCTCTCTCTCTCTCCATCAAAATCCCTTTCTGTATATGCGGTCATTTATTCATTCACGTATTTATTACCATTATTATCATTATTGGCATTTATTCTTACTATATATTATTATTACTATTACTATTATTGTTGTTATTGATAGATACGAGATTATAAAAGTATAGTATATAGATTATAGATGTGTATAGTACAAATGCACTTTCCACTAAGAAAAGAACATGTCCATCATGTCCATCAAAAAAAAATGAATCTCAAAGGTTGTCTGGTGCATATCTTCTGGTTGTTGGCTTTGATGAAATTGAGCCCAGTGAGCCGGTTCCAAAACCTGGAAGCGCCTCGAGTTTCAACTGCTTGAGCTCCTCCTTCAGATCTACCATCTCTTCCTACCAGGCTAGGCGGCTAGCAGTGCCAAATAGTGCCAAGGTCAACGGGTATTTCAATCGTCCAATTTTTGACCAACGCCCAGCTTTTGAATGCTTTTGATACCTAGCGGACCTAGCTTACTCACTTGGGATTGCTTTGTGGCAACTGCCAAGGGTTGCTGAGTCCGCCACTCCAACCCCATCAACTTCCTCAGTCACCGGTGCGGGAGATTGCTCCTGGAATGGGGAATCGTTTGCTGGGCTTTGCCGTGCCACACCTTGATCTGCCATGGGGTGTGTGGTGGGCATTTACCACTACAAAACCCATTGTAGGAGCGTTCTCCGACTCGTGAGTTTGGCAACACCGCATGGGGCCCCACACCTGTTCCTCTGCTCCCGCCTGACGAAATTCACCAGCAAGCAAACATAGGATGGTGGAAGGATGATGTTCATGATAATGAGGAGGAAAATAATTGTACTTCTCTACAAACATCCCTGCTGGCAAACAACCGTCCATGTCTCCCGATTTGAAGGTGAAGAAACAAGCGCAACGCCGCAACGCTTTTTGGTCTCGCCCGAGGTCACTCCGCAACTGCCCGAGGCTCCACCTGGCAAGTAGGACCCTTGCCGCCTTTAATTCGTTGGATTCCAGTAAGGTTATCATATCTTCCCTGGGCTTGCCCCGATTATATCGTTCCAAAAGTGTCGCTTACACAGGTCGGCAAATGTGGAACAAAAGAATAGATACTGGCCTGGCCCTTCAAAATTTAGGACCTGCCCAAACCCCCTAAACCCCCTAAACATCCCTAAACCCTTTTCTACCTTGGCAGGGTCCAAGTATCATTGGGGACACACAACACCACAGGTAGCACGGCAGCTTCCTCCAGTAGGTCAGAGGCGGCTGGCAGGCGGCTCCGCATCGCGCAGGTCCGGCGAAGAGTCCTGCAACATGGCTAGGGCATCTATATATTATATATGCAGGTTTTAATGGATAAGTCATCTATAAAGTAGCTGGGAAATCATTGAAATAAACGATGGATAATAGTGGCTTTCCTGCACACCATGTTTGATTCTGGAGGGTAGCAAGGTCCGAATCTTGGCAAACCTGCATTATATCATCCTGAAGCAAATAATTTCCCATTTCAACATGAAAAACTTCAATCAGTATGTTGTAAATCCCGTTGACGACTTCAAAGCAAGAGAGTTTTCTCACTGCCCAAGGCTTCAAGGGCTCCGCGGCTCCTCCTTTATGCCATATTGATCCAGGATGTTGGCATGCGTCTCCCAACAGAGCTCTGCATCCAGGACGATCTCCAGGTGGAAGCCTCGGGGGAAGACTAGACGGCTTCAAGCCGTTTTGGAGACCATAGTCATCATAATCTAGAGATCCCTTGAGATCCCAAGATGACGAGCTTTTTCGGATGGTTCGGGTGGTTGTATTCAATTGTATTCACAAATTTCATATCTGGATGGACTGAATCCTCAGAGAACTGTCCTTCGGAAAAACTTACAAATCTATACGAATCTGCCTGCCCGAAATGCTGGCAAAACGCCTGTGCTGCGGCCACACCAACAAACCTCTTAGAGGCGGATGGATATCTAGGATTTAGATCTTAAATTCTGATGTTCTCATTTAGGATGCCTACCCTCACTACATCAATACATTACATGCAGTCCCGTATTTAGATCTATGTCGATCATTGGTCCATGTCGCGCAGTCACCAAGGGGCCACATTAAACACCGAAACCAACCTGAGTGCCGGTCTCATGACAAAGCGAAGGAATCGCTCCTCTGAGCCTGACGTGGTCTGACACAAGGTTTGTTGATTGTTTGTCTCAAGGGCCAACTTAAGTGCTCTTCAAAAAGCAAGACGTAAAACCTAGAACTTGGAACTATGCAACATTGGATAGAGTATCTTAAACTGTTCTATCCTCACAGCATCTTACAGCTACACCCAAGTTGCACCCCACTTGCACCTCCTTCGGCCCGCCCCGCACCTGCCATGGCCATCTGCCGCAGTTGTCGCAGGCTCTGAACCTTCATACCGTTGAAGGTCAGCAGTTGACAGGAAGGGAAATCCTGCCGCAGGACAAGCCCCATTTTGCGGGTGCAAAACTGGACCCCACCCCATGCCACTGGACGATGCACTGGACCCCACGTCGACGACGTCACGTGCTCCTCGTAGCCATAGTTCACCTCCGCTGCCAGAACTTTGGACAGAACGACCACCTCCTGCTGTGGCTTGGCGTAGTGTAATATGCTTAAAAAAAAACAGTTTAACAGTTATAACATGTTATAACTGATATTTGCCCATCGTTTGAAGCTTGGCACTTCTGTTAAAGCATTACTAACGGCGTTACCAATGAATGACGCCGTGCCCTCAACAGAGACCGGGGGTAGCAAATACAATCTGGATGGATTTGCAATCTTCTCAACCCATTTCAGAGGTCGCAGCAGGACCAAACCTCCTCTGGGTGTTCCTTGTGGTCCTCAGCGCCGGTGTGAAGCTTGGCGATTCAACTGTTTGTGATCTATTTTGGACCAGTGAAACCAACGTGTTTGGGTTTCTTCTTCAATGTCGCTGCTATGCGTAAAGCTATTTGTAGCGGAAACCCAACAACTGAGGTGTCCAAACGTTTTTTATAGAAGTGCTATATAGGTGGTTGGAGCGGTTGGTTTCTCAATGGATAAGCCCCGCAATAAAATGCGTCAACCCAGGAATCGACCCACCGTGGGAAGCCGCAGAATCCAAGGGACAAACAGCTTCGCCTGCAGGTCTGCTGGGACCTTTCGGACCTGCAGCAACTTTGATTTGGAATCTGGTACGGATCAGCGCCCCGTCTTGGCCACCAAGTGGTCAAATACTATTATTTTTGAGTCAGGGGAGTGTGCACACATATCCATATATATATGTAGATGTGTATATATATATATACATACATATATATATATATACTTATACATATGCATATGCATATACATATACATATACATATATATACATATACATATACATATACATATACATATACATACACATACACATACACATATACATACACACACATATATATATACATGTACATGTCAGCAGCCGCTATGTTTTCCTCCACAACCAGAGCTTATCAGTTAGATGGGCTTCCCATCCATTGTGGACTATACAGCTACATCTCAAATGCTCACCATGTTTTTGGCCAACACCACGGCTTGTTGCCGACGACCCCTGGCCCTCACCAGGAATGAGCAGCCCCCTGGCCCTCACCAGGAAATGAGCAGAAAATTTGAAGATGTAGCAACATGACATCACCTTCGGTGACGGCCCCCCGCCGGAACTGAATCCGCGGAGGGCGGGTGGGGAACTGAAATCTGCAGTCATAGACCGGCAGGTTCCCTCAAACAAGCTAAGTGACATGTCAACTGATTCATCATTAGGACATGTCAGCAGCCGCTATGTTTTCCTCCACAACCAGAGCTTATCAGTTAGATGGGCTTCCCATCCATTGTGGACTATACAGCTACATCTCAAATGCTCACCATGTTTTTGGCCAACACCACGGCTTGTTGCCGACGACCCCTGGCCCTCACCAGGAATGAGCAGCCCCCTGGCCCTCACCAGGAAATGAGCAGAAAATTTGAAGATGTAGCAACATGACATCACCTTCCACGGACTCCTCTCTGGCCTGGGGCCGAAAGAATAAGAGCAAGCTCCTTCATGTAACTGCGTTGAGCATCAGAAATTTGGAGGTGACTGAGCGTGGCAGCTGCATCTTGCAAGTAAATGCGGGCTGTGGTGGTTGAAACCCATCGCCCACGCAAAAGTGTGGCCTCCATGCTCTGCTCGGAGATGAAATGCCACGTGGCGCCACCACGCCGGAAGCTGTACAAAGAAAAGTGGCCAGCAACTTGAAGGTGTTGAATTGTGGTGTGAAAAAGGTGCCGGAGATCTGCAGGAGAGCAATCAAGAAGTTTGTCCTTGGGTTTTTTGTTTTTCAACGCAAGCCACAGCCAGACATTGGTCACATGGCTGTGACAGACCACCATCTCCGTCGCTGCTTTTCGTTGGCCTGTTTTTGTGCCGTGGAGCGAGAGGATAGCTTTACCCCCGGCCCATGTAACGTGCTGCTTTTGCAAGGCGTAAAGTTCGCCAGGGCGCAGCAAAGCATCGAAGGCAACCAAAAAGGCAGCTGCAGCAGAGACATACCCAAGCCGGGCACAGGCACCGCTGATGGCCACCACCATGAGCGGGCTGATGGGTAGCACGCGCACTGGCGGCTCCATCTTCTGCCAAGATTTGAGCAACCTCCAGCTGTGTCGCAATTTCCCGGCAACCTCAGGGACGAAGTGCTGTAAGGCAGCTAATCCATCTGAACCATAACCTTTGGGATATCCTTCAGAAAACACATGCTCCAGGAATTGTGCGGCAGCCACGTCAAAGTCTTCCCAAGTCTTAGGCATGGTGTTACTGTTCCTCCAAAAGTTCAAGATTCTTGCCGCCGCCACTGCATACCTCCCGTGGAGGCTAGGACTCAGCACCTTGTCTCCCAAGGTCAAACCGGACCGCTTTTCCTTGCGCGCTTGCCGAAGTTGCTCTTGCTGATGGGTTGTCGTTTTGCCCATCTTGAAGGCAGGTCCGACGGATTGTCCCCACTTGCTACGTACGCAACAGCCAGCCTGATTTCCCCTGCAAGCAGCAGGGAGGAAAGCTTCTGAATAGCTCTTCGAAGACGGTGGCTGGAAGTCCTCCCCTTGGAGATAACCGAGGCCACCACCTGGTTATCTACCAAATGGAGAACACGGTGCCTGAATCTAGACACCTTACGAAGCCTCCATTGCAGCGCGTTCACGGTGGCTTGCAGCTCTAGCACATTTATGTGACTGGGATGTCGCCATTTGAAACCATTGATGATTTTCCAGTGAAAAAGCGAAGATCTGATACCAGCCCTAGGCCAAGCTCTAGCTCTGAAAGGTATACCTACATCCAGCTTTACATCAGTGCCACCTCGATCCCCCTGTCTGAGAAACTCTTGAACCAGCATGCATGCATGAGTATCAGGTGAAGAGTTGGTCACAAATTGTGGCTTAACACACCAGGCAGTAGAAGCTACTTCATCCCTGGCTAAGATGCGGTCGAGTTGCCGTGGCTTGTGTGTTGTGCTGAAGTGGGCCAGCAGCTCATCCAAGAGAAAAGTGATGCAATAGACGTTGAAGGAGTTCCCAAGCATGCAGGCGCCCTGGTCAAAGGCCTCCATCATGGTAAGCTTCGGACTCAGTCCTTCGGAGACATATCCGGCCGGAAACCCCATCAGTTTTTCCCGTTCCATCACTGAAGGCACCCTCAGCACACCATCGGGCCTCTTCACCAAATGCCAGACTTCGTACTGGTACACTTGAAACCTGTAGTTGTCAGCAGACCATCGCTGGATGGCATCTGATGAAGCCGTTTGGACCCCCGCTGGTTGGCGAGGCGGAGTGCTTCTTGGCAGGGCCCTTGTGAATGTTGGCAGTGGCATATTGCTCGAGTGGCTGCACCCGTTATCTAACCACCAGTTAGGATCAGTGCAAAGGTCAGGGAATTTCCATTCACGATATGTATCGTGCTCCACCATTTCCTCTTGCCCCCGAGCTGTTATTGGCCAGTCCACCCAGAACAACCTGGGCCTACGACATTTGCTGAAGGCTGTGCAGTCAATCAGAACGGGCTGATGCCCCAACGTCTCGCTGAACTGGTCCCTGCTTTCTTTTGTCATTGAAAAGGCATTTTCAACAAAGGTGAAGATAGGACAGGCAAACGCGCGCTTCAGGTCTTGAAAGATTCTGGGCATCTCAAAAAAGAGTTTACTACGCGCACCTGCAAGCCCTTCCCTGCCCGCCAGCAGGGCCGTTAAGTCCTGACAAGGGCTGCCGCCCCCGCAAAGGACAAAGTCAATCTGGTACCCTACGCTTCGGGAAAGGGTCTCCAGCATTGAAGCAGTGACTTTTCGAACATCGCCAAGTTCCATGACACCTGGCCAACGCCTGCGCACTAGGCGACAACAGGCCTTGTCCACTTCCGAAGAAGCAAAGGCCACAACTCTGCATTCAAGCCGACAAAGTGCGCACATTAAAGCTGCAATGCCATCGAAAAGTGAGATGACTACAACTCGGGGGCCTTTGTCATTTTGCATGCTCACCGCACCTTGGGGCTGAAAGGCCGCACAGCGCGTCCTTTTGTACTCAGGTGATTGCAGCTTGTTGAGCTCTGCCATGCCCAGGTCTGTGAGCCGCCCGCTGCTGCATATGCCTCCTCCATGTTCACTGGCATCAGAGCAAGTGACCAACCCGCTGATGGGAGCACGCAGGTCCGCTCCTGCTAGGCCCAACATGCAGACTGAATGAAGAAGTTCTTGCACGCCTTTAGCACTCAGCGGCTTTCTGACCTTGGGACCTTCTTTTGGCCAAACTGTGGAAAGCAAACACATCAAAGGTCTCCTGAATTCAAAACAGCGCACCAAGCGCCCCAGCACCATCAAGAGGATCTTTATGGGGGGCCTGTCCAACCCTAAAAACCAGATTGCAAAGAAGGCCGTCTCCATCTTCTTCTCCAGGGGCACTCCCACCGTGCCATCCAACCCATTTACTTCCGCGCCCATCCTGATCACTCTGGGCTGTCTGATGTGGGCCTTATCTTCAGCTATACCAACCCCCCCAGCTATGGTAGGCCTGTCGCTGTCTCTTATGCGTCTCACCCATAGTGCCCTGCTTACCTTCCCAGCCGTCACTGGGAACCAGTTCCGGACAGTCAAAGTCGTCCAGGTAAAACTGGACAAACTCTAATACATTGCCATCTGAACTTTGTGGCACCGGCCGGTCTCTTCTCCATTCCAGTTCCTCCGGATGGCCCGCACCAACAGGAGGCTGGAGCATGCCAAGGTTCCTGTGCAAATGCTGAAACAAGCTAACCGCTTGTATCCAGCCCATGGGAATAACTCTGGAGGCCACGTACTCCCATTGCTTCTTTGATCCCACCAAGTGACCGGGCACGGGCCAGCAGAAAGCCATGTACGGACGCCAACAACGTGGAAGTTCCCACGCATAAAAAGCCCCCTTCTGATCATCTCCGCTCCACAGGAGGACCTGATTCGGCTCCAGCACCAATTGCGCCCATGCCGAAGAGCCGGAGAGCGTGCTCAAATCTCCTGCCATCAAACGCTGAAAGCTATTTGCTGGGACGAAGTTCATGATCAGTCGTGTGACACGGCACTGGCCTACACCAGCCTTCCCGCGCTTCTCAACAGCGAATGCTCCATTTAGAACCGGGGTATCTCCTACTTTGAAAATCTCCGTGTAATCAATAGGTTCTATAATGCCCCTGTGGAACAAAACTTCGCAGATGCTGTACCATTCATCTTTGGTGGCGTTAATCCTTGCTTTGGGGGGCACACCTGGCCAACACTCAGGCGGTTTCAATGTCAACGAGGGATCCAGCACCCACGCTCGAACATCGCCAGTTGCAGCATTCACTGCACTCAGCGACCCTGCCACGCCTGCCACCGGAAGCCCCGGCAGAAGTTCTTGCAGCCTGAGCGGCAGGGCGTGGGAGACCTCTTCCCCGGAATAGTCAATGGTTTTACTTCGCACCAACTCGTGAAACACAGGGAGAGCATGAACTTGTTGGGGATCTTGACAAAACCTCTTCAACCACCTGTTAATATTGTCCATAGCAGTACGTTGAAGCTCTGTAAGGTACTTGTTGGTGTTCCCCTCATAAGTCCAGTTGCAACACATCCCATTAAGAACTATTATCACCAGACATCGCCAAACTTGTAGGGAGCCCTCAACCAGAACCTTCCTACGCTGCTGTCGTCCCCTTTTTTTCAGCCCGTCGGTGGCCAAGTCTGCCACACACAACAAACCATCGCAAAAAGATCTGGCGCATCCTATCAGCTTGAGTGCAGCTCCAACAGGGGGCAGAGGCAACGGCAAAATGTCTCTGACCCGGGATGGTTCAGTGGAGGTAAAAGACATCTGATCCAAAAACCATTGTCTTAAACATTGCCCATCTCGTGGGCTCGCCAGCTGGAGCTGCAGCAAAGACACACCCAATTGTAAAATGGTTGGCTTGAAGGTGCTAATCCTTTTGCATAAACTTTTGAATGAGGATGCCTGCAACAGCCTGACATTTAGAGTGTTCAAGAAACAGTTAAGGTCACATCCACCTCCAATTTCATTGCACGCTAAGGAATCAGGCACACTAGTCACCTGGGAAGCTGTGCGGTCCTCCCCAGGAACTTGTAAACATTCGCCGCGCATTACACTGAGCTCAGTCGTCTCAGCACCACGGCAGTCTGACCTTGCAGACTCATCTTGTGGACCTGCTGCAACGCCCCTTGCCACCACAAGGGCTGGTTTCTCAGCTGGTCCACCCCCTGCCTCCACAGGGGCGGATATAATTCGTTGCCCTGCCGCCACAGGGCAACTCAGCACATCCCCTGCCGCCACAGGGCAACTCAGCACATCCCCTGCCGCCACAGGGGGCTTCAGCCTCTCTTCCCGCTGCCCTTCGAGCGTCCCCCCTGACCATGCTTCTCCTCCTCTCGTCTCTTGTGCTCGAAGACACGGTTCTTCCATTGGGATCTGCTCTCGTTCTCCTTCCTGGGCACGGCTTCTCGTGCGTCCTTCATCCTCATCAGACCCAGTCTTGGATCCTGTGCTGGCTCCGGGATGACGCTGGTCAGCGGGTCCTGGAACCTCACCTGTCTCTTCAAGGGGCTCCTGCTCCTCGAAGGTGAAGGCTTTTGGCCGCGCAACGCTGGCTTCCTCCTCGGACTCAGTGGAGCTTCTGTCTTCACAGTTGTATGAGGGCTGGGGTGGCGTTGAGGAGGTGCAGGCTGTGAACGCCCTGCCACCTCCCCGCCGAGTCCCTAGCCCAGGGCAGCGGCCTTCTTCAGCAATTCGCTGCTCTTGGCATCCTTGACCGCCATGCTGCGAGCAAAGTCTGACTCCTCCAGCGTCGATGCAGTTGGGTGCAGCTCAAGGGGGATGAGCTCCAAGTACTTCGATGCAGCCGTGGGGTGGTCGCGGATAGACATAAGGATGGATTTGTACCTCTGCATCAGCATGTCGGCAGCCATCAGCACCCGTCCACTGACGACCAAGTCCAGCGTGCTTGCCAATGTCCTTAGCTCCCTCATTGTCTCCTCACCTACCTGCTTCGGATCCATCTGAGGGATTGCCGTGGTCAGCAGGTATCGCAGTGCGGCTGGTTGGAGAGCTTCTGCTTTTGAGCCAGTGGAAGCCGCATCGCCATACAGGGTACCAAGCTGCTCATGCATCAAGGTGAAGCCCCGCACCAGGAGTGTTCCTGGGTTGTCAGCAGACAGCTTGCGCAATTTCCGCTGACGGCTGGTCAAGTCGTGCTTCTTGTTCACCTGCAGCTCATCATCCTCACTATCACTTTTCAAACTGCTCGACTCCTCTTGGCTCTTTTTTCCACGGAGCACCTGCAGGGCCTTGGTGACCTTCTCCTGTTCACTGCTCTTCTTTTTCTTCTGGGCATTCCTCTCCAAACCATCTTGCACGCGTTGCACCAGCACTGCACTGGCCGAAGTCTTCTCCTCCGCCTTCTTCTTCCTGTCCTCCAAGCTGGCACGAAGCTGCTCCAACCTCCTGTCATTCTGCAGGGGGTCCTCCAGATCATCCCCCAGCATCGCGTCCAGGGGCGAAGGCTTGGTTGCCTCCTGGCGTTTCCTGGAGAACTCACCCACACTTCCCCTAGCCTCCTCCGGCCTACACCGGGGGGAGCGCGAGGAGTGCCTCCTACGTCTACGACGCCTTGCATTGGAGCGCCCTACATCCTGGTCTCGCTCGTCCTTGCTGTCTTCACTTCCAAAGTCCTGGTTCTGCTCGCGTCGCCTGGGTGACCTCTCCTCATAGGACGGGGGGCGCTTGGCCTTCCTCTTGGAGGCGGTTGTCAAGTGATCCTCAGGGCATCCCCTTGAGCTCACTGGCGCCGTGCCCCGTCCTACGGGAGGTCCATTGTCCAACCTCTTGGCTTTCCATTCTTTGACTATGCTGTCCACATCAGCCGAAGTCACAAAGGCTAGCTTCTGAATATGCACAACACCACTTTCGCCAACTTTGCGTCGACAGGCACCCAGGCTCTTTCGGCACACGTGGTGATACCGTCCTGAGCCGCCTTCTGAAGTAATCCAGCGTTGGTAATATTCATCTGAAGCTGCCACATACTCTAGTTTCAGGAAACCACCGTCTTTGTCTCCCTGGTACTGAGTCATGATGCGGGCAACAGCATAGCCCTGAGGTTGGCCTCCATCATCCAGGCACTCAAACAGGATGTGATCACCTGCACCATCCCACAGGCTTTGGAAGCTGTCATCGCTGCATTGTTTCACCTCTCTCAGTCCGATGCCCCCTGCCATGATTTGGGCAAGGTGAGAGAGGCCACACCTTGAACTGAAATCTGCAGTCATAGACCGGCAGGTTCCCTCAAACAAGCTAAGTGACATGTCAACTGATTCATCATTAGGACATATGCATATACATATATATATATATACATATACATACGTACATACATATATATATATATAAGTATTTGTATATGTGAGTGTGTGTGTGTGCGTGTATGTAGATACATATCATATATGTGTATGTATATATGTACATATATATATATATGGGTATATAAATGGATGTGTATGTTTATGTTTAGTATATGTGTAATATATACTGTGTATATTATATATATACGTATATCTATAAGTGTGGTATGTTACGGTACGTCAAGGTGAGGCAAGGTATGTATGTCTGTATGCCATGCCATGCTGCATGCAGCCTCTGAATACCGAGCCTCCGAATACCGCGCTAGCAGCCACGGCAGGGAGAGCGGAACGAAGACCAAACCCCCCAGCACCAAGTAGGAAGGCACAGCATCGACCCCTGCCATGGTGCCATGATGCCATGGTGCCATGGTGCGGTGGCTGGGAAGGGCGCATGGCAACGTACCGTGCGAGCACCAAAAAAGGCATATCAAGGAACATAGAGGCAAACCATGGCAAACCTAGGTCTTTCTATGAATGCCTTAACTAAGGCAATGGCCACCAAAAAAGACAAAACAGCAAAATCATACCAAAACATCCAAAATCTTGATATGACATGAAAAGCCGGCCGTCGCTCCCACAGAATGAATAGAGTCTGTCTGCCTGCTTTGCGCGGCACCAGCCGAGGGACAGGGCTTGCTGAAAGTTGCAGCTCAACTTCTTTCTCCTGAAGATCATCATCCCATGCATGCCCCTCCCCATCCCCCTCCTCCTCCTCCTCCTGCTCATCATCATCATCATCATCATCATCATCATCATGATCATCATCATCATGATCATAGCCCTCCCTCTGAAGGGATGGCCGTCCAGTATGAACAGGAGGGCGCTTGAAATAGATGACTTAGATAAGCTGTCAATCGTATAGCCCAGGGACTAATGTTGAAAGAAGGGGGCACCACGAAACAGTTCATGGGAAATAGGGTACTTTGAATCTGGAAGCGCCGTCTGCCCGTGTGCTCTTGTTTGACCTACACACTCTCACTTTAATCTGGATCTTCTGTGGTGCATTGACCTATAAGCATCATCACCATCCAGCTCATCATTCGAATCATCAGCAGCTACGGTTCTTGATGTGACGTTGGATGACGCTCGCATTTGCCTCTGTGGGCTGTCTTGGCCAACAGCTTGAAACTTGCTTGCCTGACAATCATCCAAACCTTCTCATCAAATTAATTTCGTTTAAATTCAAGTCTTGGGTTCAATATCTGTCCATTGACTTCAAAGCCAATCTCTTCCGCAAGATTCACTTCCTACTCTGATCAGAACAGTTTCTGAGCCGCGATTCACAGTCCTCGTCTGATCGCCACAGAGTCACGCCTCAAAACAACTGACCCCTTCCCTTCACAATACGACACCTGTGCCAAAATTGGTTGTGTCTGTGTGTGTGAGGGGCATAGAATGCGTGTCTGTTGCGCTTGGTGCCGAGAGGCGAAAGGAATCTCCAACCACGCGTCGGGAGACAAGGAAGTCGTACCTGGGGAACCCAAAGAAAGGAGGGCCACGCTAAGAACTGCCCACCTTACATGCTGGGCAACATAGAAACTCTACGATCAAGTCAAGAAGAAGATGATGCATCACAAAGGTAGGGGAGGGTTCTAGATCGACTTCATGTAAGATTGAGTAAGTCAGTTGCAAGGAGCAAACAGTGGGAATAACAGTCCACCCACGGAATGAAACTTGCTCCCATGCTCTGAGTGCTCGTCCCTTTGGAGCATGGGAGCAAGTTTCATTCGGTCGGTGGACTGTTTGAGGACGCACTTTGATACAACTGCTCTCGCAAGCTGGCCCGCAAATAAACAAAAATCACACTGTCCAATGGGAGCTGCCGCCACTGGCCAAGGCACCCAATCCGCTCGGCATCGCGAAAGGGGATGGAGCCATCCTCAGCCAACGGCACATCGTCGATCGCCAGAAGAATGTCTCCCGCCTGCGTCCGTCGGAGCACTGAATTTGGCCTTGTGAGGACCTTAACCATCCCATCCTGGGGCCCATGGGCCGTCCCAACCTGTACTATACTGCGTTAACCCAGGGTGACCAGCTGAGTACGGGTTGGTCAAATCTGGTGGTCCATAATCCGTTTGGTTTAATCCGTGAAACCCCAACTTTCGGTGGTTGAATCCTAACTTTCATGGTTAAATCCTCAATTTTGGTGCTTCAATCCTCCATCTTTCATAATTTCATCACCATGTTTTTACGGGGAAAAAAACACAATTTTCAACTAAAAAGGAACATGTCTTCCCCCAAAAAAATGGTAATGAACACATGCGTTCCCAAAAACAACATATCTTTTTTCCACCTTCACCCCAGCTGCGGCCGCTGCCGATAAGGGCGCCACATCGGAGACCAGCGCGCCGGTCTCACTGCCAGGCTCCTGGTGCGGGATGATTTGTGGAGGATTAATTAGGTGAAACATCCCATAAGTACTGATTAATCCCATCTACCTATGAAACATCCCCTAAATGGCACCAATTAGGTGTAAATCCCCTACATCCACCAGGGTTTCCGGGGTGGTGTTGAATTTTGGGGGGGGATGGGATGAACGGGATTTACTGGGAATGCCCTCTGGTGATTTCACATGACTATGGAAAGCACCCTGTTTAAAACCAGCAAATCATCGAAGTAAATGGCATGGCTTCTCCATAGCAACCCATCAAATTACCAAATTGTATCATCATGGTTTTTTTGGGCGTTGACAGGAGGGATGATTGTAGAGTGTGGGTTATGGGATAATGGCTTCATGAGGTGGTCCTTTGAACATTGACACAAGTCCGGGATGATTATGGGTTTTAGGGCATTTAAATATTGCAAAACAGGCGTGATCCCACAAATTTGGAGTTTAACGGGATGATGTGAGTTTCTTATGGTTATCTTTGATGGTTTCATCAGTCCAGGAGGATTGTGGCCATTGCATGGTCCAATCACCAAGAGCTGCGTTTTTCTCGGGATGTGATGATGTTGAAAGAGGACACTTGGATGATTATGGTCAGAATGGTCGCATGTTTATGGTGGATTTCTATAACAAGTCTTGAAATGGTGGTTTAACCACAACAAACTGAGTATAACCAACAAAAAACAAAGGATATCGGTTCCCACTGATCTAATAATGTCCTTTTCCCAAAAATGCAAATGCAGCGGTCGGCTTGGTACACCAGTTCACAATCATGCAGTTCAACTGTAGCGTGCGCTCTATTGATCAAGTAGCCAGTGAGGGAAGGACATTTATCAACCATAGCAAGGTCAATGAGGCCACTGCTTTAAAGTCCAAACCTCACCAAGGACATAATCAATGCATCCACCAACCAATCATCTATCATTTGACCCACCTCTTTTGAGCTATGCATGGCCAACCTTGAATGCCCAGCCGAAAACCCGCCTCTCTCATTTATCATAACAGGAAAAAAATAGGTGTTAATAATCGTAAAATAAAACCATCAGAATGGCACATAAATCATACACGGACCAATTATGTGTATAGTGTATATTATATATATATCTGCATGCGTGTGTGTAAAAAGTTGTAATTATGTCGAAAGAGACAGAGATATAGATATGGATAAAACTAACACACTCTCAACCAAAAAGTTTTTCTCAGTTTTCTACCCACCAACCCCTCCCCCTGGCTCCAAGCCCCGGTGCTGCCGCAGCGCCACTGAGCGCGTGTTTTGCAGCCGCACGCCCAGGTCACAGAGGCGCGGTGAACGGCAGGTGGCCACGCCGCGAAGGAAGAAGCGCACCACGCTGCCAGGGATGACGTAGCCTTGTTTTTTTTTGGAAGATGGGGGAGGTTTCACCCTGGATATTATTTGTATGTATCGATATTTATGTTGATATTTATCCTTATATCTATTTCTATCTATATATATATGTGTGTGTATGGGTTTGGTGCGCTTTCCAGATGTGGGTTTGTGCGTGGGGTATAAATCCATATATACAATATACTGCAATATACTCAGTACACTGGATATACTAGGAACAAACATGGAAGTCACCTGGGAATTCATGAAGGATTTCAGCCAAAATCTGTACACGCTGTGGGTAATTTGGAAATGTGGTAAATAAGCTACCAAATTCGGTCATATACCAAATACAGTACAATTAATTGGATATGGCCCCATCCGCCAAAAAAAGTTTCCCTCAATGTCGCAACATGAGATTTGTGGCGGGATACGGGCGCGTTTATGTGCATAGATATATGCAAGCGTGTATATATATATACATATATATATAACATACACAACTATGCAGACTATTTCTGCATCTGTCTATATAGCGGAAAAATCGACCAAACCGCAGTTGACTGGCTTTGGTGGTGGGGCCACCCAGAATCCAAAAAACATCAAACTCAACTGGGATCGTCATTACAGTTTTGGGATGGAGAAAAAATAGTGAAAGCCACTAGGAAGTAATATACAAGTTGCAACTGATATGGCTATATCAATTTGATTCAATTTGTTTTGCAACCCTTACCAGTAACAAGGCCAACTCCCAGCTTTTAACTAGATATGCCGCAGCAATGGAATGCAGCCACAATTTCAACGGTGGGGCCCATCAATTCTTGGTGTCACACCCTCTAGTAATCCAATATAGCTACAGATCGCCCATGCATAAATGATTTACCTATTCAAGATTGTTATTTTCCATACTTTGTTAAACTACCGGAGGGTATTCTGTACTGTCATATATCCGATTTCTGCCGATGATCAGGAAGGAATGAATGAGCAACCGATGATCAGTGTGTTGCCGACCAATCTGAGTGGAACCGGCATGTTGTCCCCATTTGCCGAAGGCATGGTGGGCACTGCATTCCATTGGTCCATTGTTCAAGCCCCTCCCACCGAGGTCACCATCCCTTTCTGCCCTGCGTCCGATGTTGGCGCTGTTTTGAATCTTTGTAAAGGCAACGCCCACCGCCTTGCCAGTGGCATCCAGCACCGGACCGCCAGAATTGCCAGGATTGATGGCTGCGTCCACCTGGTGCTGTGATTGATCTACTTTTCCTTGTACCTACTTATCTGGCTGTCTATACATGAATATGTATATATATATATACGTATATATAATTATACATATATATATACCTACCTAGCATTCTTTATCTCTGTATTTGCCTGTGTATATAGTGACTGACAATACTTAGAACATCATTTGGAACTAAGAAGTTATCAAATAATCTCCAAGTGTGCACTTAGAACACCTACACTAAGAACATCCCTGAAATATACATTTCGATCATTGACATCGGGGCCATATGTATGTTCTACATTGTTCTACATGATTGTCCGCCATACTAAAATAGATTAGGCTGGGAGCCGGTGTCTCCAGTCGTGATCATTTTATGTTGATACATCTCACTATCTGTCTGTCTGTCTGTCTGTCTATCTATCTGTCTGTCTGGCCATAGAACTATCTACATGTTGTTTGTGTGTATGTAAGTAGTTATTTTCATTGTTCAGATAAAGCAGCATCATACATATGCCTACGCATACTCACACACACAAACACCCAAAAAAAACTAAAATTATGTGAGAAACCCATGACAACTTAATGTTATACGCCCATGTTTGTTTGCATCTTCCGGCAGGAACAAACCATGTTTAAAGAATTTTATGCATAATCTATTGATATTCAAATGTTCTGGGTGATAGTCACTTTACGATGTGCGTCACTAAGAACGGGACAACCGGGACAGTGGAAAAAAAAAATCGTCAAGGCCTGCATCACCAGTTGACGTTCACCGCCTGCAGGGGAGAAAGTGTAGTCCATCAAATCAATCCGCGAGACCTGAGATCATCTGAGATCCAGCACTTGCCGTGCGCAAAATCTGCATAAAGAATACATGTGCTTCGTGGTTATGATGTTTTTTATCAGTATGTGAAATTGCCAAAGCATCCTCCAACAGGGTGGACTCCACCACCAAAGGTTCCCCATATTTTTCGCCAGTTCAGCTTCTGGTGAGCCCCCATTTTGCTTCACAACTTTGCTGCTGTCGGCACTCTTGGTATTGGTTTTCTTATTTTTTTTTGGTTTCATCATGAGATTTCCCATTGTTCTTTTTGGCTCACCCTTGCTGAGATTCTTGACGCCTCAGAGATGCTTGTCCACAAGGTTAAAACCAAAGCGACGATTTGCCGCCACAGGTCCCGATGCCACTGCAATCTTCATCCCAAAAACTCCCAAACAACCACCACCCAAAAAATAAGAGGCAACAATCCACCGTCAGAAACCTCCAAACAGCAACCAAACTTCAGCAAAAACACAAGAACAGTTACATCATGTCAAACCCATTCAAAGAGATAATCCCAAAAAAAAAAAAAAACTCCCAAAAGGCCTTGATCTTCGCCCCCCAAAGAAATGTCATCCACCAAGGCACCACCCCGCGGGTGACGCAGATATTTTCGCCCCCCATGGGATAGCCCACCGTCAGCACGTCGGAGTCCAGGTTCGGTACCTCTTCACTGAGCTCGATGGAGCTCAGAGCCTTGGTGGCTGGGGCAGGGGAGGGAGAGGGTGGGGGAGGAACTGGGGGGAACGGTCAAAAGTTAAAAGCCTTGGATTTCATGAAGTTGAAGTTGAAGCTCTTGGAATGATTGCCCTCCCACTCCCACGCCCCCTAAAAAAAGTTTGGATTGGTGAAAAAAAATGACGAAATGGATTGACTTCAGAAACGACCATGCACCAGCACATATCAAATGATACCAATGCATTCAGTTCAACTTCACACGAGGCTGACAGGCGACTAACGATGGCAAGAGCAAGCAGAAACAAGAAGTGAGCGATGTAGGCGGCAAGAGTTGGGGAAATGGTTTCAGTTAACCCAAGATGACCCGGAACCAACAAATCTGAAGAGTACATCTGATCTACCCTACAGAGGTGGGGATGGTATGCAGCTCAACATGTGGATCATAAGGATAAAAAAGGGGGAATCACCAGCAACAGAAAAATGGGGAACGACAGACGTCCATTGTTCCCCGCGAAGCTTCCACCCATCTTCTGGGGGATGCTTTGTCACTGGCAGCAATCGAAAACATGCCTCTGCGCTGCCCTGAAAAACTGAGCCACATGGGGATGGCTCAATACCTATGGGACTATGGGACCAACTTTGGAATTTTGGATCCATTTGTCATTTGCCATGCCCACATCTTCACTCACCATTGGTTGAAGTCCCCCAACCACCAAGGTGCAGGCGGGGCCTCCCAGAATGCGTCAGCAGGCACTTCCAACAGTGCCAGATCCACTTGGTGAGAGATGCACAGCACCTGCACCCGAAGGGCCAAGAGTTTACGGGAGACCCAGTGAGGGTTGTCACCATCACCACCCGACTACATCCGAGCTGTATACCAGAGCACTCTGATGTATCTGTAGTTTAGAAGTGGGTGCATGAGCCCAATGACTCACTCATAAGCCCAGGCTCAGGCATAAGCTCTGCCATACTTTTGTGACCATGTGTAGCACCAGAAGTTTGAATCAGAACTCGAGAAGGATGATATATTATAATTATATATATATCCTATATCAGCATATATCAGCCACTTAGAAATGCCGTATCAGTGGGAAACCCAATGATAAACCCAGGGCATGGTGTGCCATGACCCCCATGTTGAGTTATTGGTGTTGGTGGCTGCACCTTGGCGGGATAGCGGGCGGCATGCCCATAGCGGCGCACACGCACCATCACCTGAGAGCAGGCGACCATCCCCAGCCAGGCTCAAAGGTGATCAAAGGAGATTCAAGAACATCACTACACCCCAGTCATGAAGGGATCATCTGCCCCTTGTCCAGCTATAGCTATAGAAGGACATGCAGATATAACTTGCATGACCTTGTGCTTCCACCAGTCAAGTGACCGCATCGCCCACCACATGTGCATTGGTCAACACCTGCATTGGAGGTTCGGGTCATTGGATCCTGGCCCAAGGTCTATCAGTCTATTGTACCGGAGTTGTATTTGGTGTCGTCCGGTCTCACCCTAGGTATCCCCTTGTCAGAACTTCCAGTTCTTGCAACACAGCACCTGCATTCAAACAATGCTGAACTCTTGGAGGGCTTCATTCTTGACCCTTTTGCCAAAATAAAAAGAACCAAAGGAAAGGGAAACCATTTGAAAACACTAGGACTTTTTATATCTTTTAACAAACATAAAACCATTGCAGTAACTGGTCCTCTCATCCCCTCCCGGCCTGGCGTCGGCTGGTGTTGATGCAAAACCCCGAGCCGGTGCCTGAGCGCTGCGGCCGCTGCTGCCACGGGGACGTCCAGTTGGGCTGCGACGAGCGCACAAAGACCTCCGGCGCTATGACGGTCAAAGCACCGGGGACACAGGTGGACCAACAGGTGGACCACTGAGGAAATGCGGCAAGAGTTAGCGACTTTTGGGCTATTCGCAGATCTATCTCTCTCTCTCTCTCTGTTGGGATTTGCGTGTGAGGACCCTGAAGCCAGGTTGCAGAAACTTCACAACATGCTGAATGCTAACATCTGGTGCGCAGACCTCAATAGAGTAACGAAACTTGAAACCCTTCACAAAAAAGTACAGTATACAGTAAAAATGATGTGATTGAAATGCCGTACACGTTGGGTGGAATGCCAGCTGTCACTGAAGCAAAGCCATATGGGTGGAACCAATCGCACTGAAATGATGAATCTTCACGACCTTTCCCCTTTTCCTCCATGTTCCTAGGAGCCATCTCCTTAGTTGACTCAGTCTGGTTATCCCTGGAACTGTTGCACCTTCACAACGCTGCGGCGCACCGACACGAGCTCTTGGTGCCGGCTGGACGACGACGCCGCCATGTCACCGGCCCGGCTTATCGAAAACTGACTGGCGTTGAATTGGGTTTCGCGCCATCACTAGCTTAGTTTAGGGCCCATTGGCTTTCAATGGCTTTCAGGCTGACTTTTGGATTTTTTGGCCACTGGGAAGTTGTTGTGCACTCCTGCTAAGTATCCATGCGGTCCTATAGGTGCTGGCAACAGCAACCATGCACCAGGAACATTTCAGTACAGAATGCATCTTGCAAGAGGGCGAAGACTCTTGGAGAAAACTGGGTTTCGACACAGAAAGATAATAGGTCGCCCAAATGATATCTTGCAGCTTTTCTCTGTGCAATGGGGGATAAATGACATGTAACAGCTCGTGAGGCAGAATAGCATTGGCTGTGGGGCTTTGACCCACATAATCTGTGTGCGATGGATGGTGTCCCAACAAAGGTTGGCGCCAATTTCCAACTGATGCTGCTATCATAATCTCCCAGCACCTGTACCTGTTCAGTTGCGAGTCCCAATCATCTCCACATGGTTTTAACAAGAAAAATAACATGAACATCATGAAACCATCAAAAATTAAGTGGAAGAGTTTGAAGATCCTTCAACTGCCCAGGGTCCATGTACCGCCTTCTGTTTCATTTCCTCTAGGCGTGGCTCGAACTTCTCCATCTCGGCACTAAGCTTCTGCCTTGAAAGTGAAGAATATGTCCAAATGGGAGCCGCATTCGGTGGGATTACATGGATAGTTGTGCCCTTTTTGGGGTCATCCCGTGCTACTATGAGATATAATTGGTAATATTTGACGTGGCACAGAAGGGTGCAAGAAATAAAGTTAGTCATTTTTGGCCCGAAACCACCCAATGTTTGGGTACTTGACCCACTTCGAGGTGTTTTGGCCGGAGGGATAGATAGATAAATAGGTAAAGATAGATAGGTGTAAAGGCATATAGGCATATACATTACATTACATTGAATTTGATCAGATTAGATGAAATTTAGATTTGGATTTAGATTAGATTGGGTTAGATGAGATTAGATTAGATGGCATTGCATTAGCATCCAATACAATACAATGCGCGTGTGCATATCTGTATATCATCCCAGCTACAGCTATAAAGTTCAAGAAAATCATCTTCATTTCTGGGCATACATCTCATACATGCATTCTTTGTGCACACGTGTATGCATAGTATCACCATCAGCCGCGAGCTACCCTTGCCCCAGCATGCCCCAGCGTTGCAAGCTCAGTAGCTGGACACTTGAGAGCGTTGAGAGCTCCTGAAGGAGTTGGTCTTGATTCGCCTGGCCCGGTTGGATTGGATGAATCTCAGAGGAAACGTGCAGGAAGAATCAGGAAAATGGATGAAAATGGGAGCACTGCCAAAAAAAATGATCCTGGATCTAATCGAATTCATTTTCTGTCACTTTGCATCCAATCATTCAAGTTGTGGAGTCGAAAAGGTAAGCCAAACCCAAATCTCTTTGGATCATACAGGCTGCTTGAGCTGCCCTCCCCTCAGCATGAACCACACCTGCTGCTGATCGGATTTCAAAGTGAGGTTGTCCCTGCAAGGGGCACAGCATGGATTGCTAGTGTGCCTTCTCAAAACCCACGAACAAACCAAGGATTGCAGTGATTTCTCCTCGATAGCAAAGGGCAAGGAAAACCAACGTAAGGGCTTCAATTACATGCACGCATGATTATATCAAAGAATCTCACAGAGAAACACCAAATTCATATCTCAGAGCATAAGCATAGCATAAGCATAGCATAAGCATAGCATAAGCATAGCATAAGCATAGTCAACTGAAACTGCAAAGGGACCGCCCCACCAAAACATGCCGGTCCCCACAAGATCGCCAGCTTCGATCTAATCTCCAAGGCCATCTGCCCATTGGCCTGGGATGCTTCAATCGCTTCACCCTTTTTCGAGATCCAAATTGACCCAACATTTAAGGAAATTGCAAGAATTTTAAGGAAATTTTAGGAGTTATAAGGAGTTTTAAGGAATAATAAAGAAATTTTAGAGAATTTTAATGCATTTTAAGGAATTTAAAATATTGATGGTGTTTTGATGATATGTTTATGATGTTTTAATGGTGTTTTAATGATGTGTTTATGATGTCTTAATGGTGTTTTGCTGGTGTTTTAATGATGTTTTAATTGTGTTTTAATGATGTTTTAATGTTTTAATGGTGTTTTAATGATCCGATGAAACACACTCAAAAAACAAGGGGGTCAAATGGCTTACCCTATCACGAGCCATCACGAACCCATGCCACTGCACCTGGCCGATCATTTTCAACTCTCTGCTCTGCATCTGGCGGAGTTGGTCACTGTCCAAGTTGATCCACCATCGACTCAGGCCCCACAAGAACTGCAGAACAATGGTTGAAACTGGTACCATCAATCATTGGGTTGCAACTCACCATGATTCTCATGGTTTTGCTATAGCTGCTATGATTGGACATCCAGAGGTGAGGACCCTCAATCCAGCGATTTCACTACTGAGATCCACCATAACCGAAGCGCCGGGCCTCCACCAATATTTGGAGGGAATCTAACTCGCTGTGAGCATGGGAGAGATTCAGCATGATCATGCCCTCAGCTTGACCAGAGATGCCCAGTTCAACTATAACCAGATACCAAAGATGCAGTTGGCCAGTGGCACACACACTTCTCACGCAAATTCATTGGTCAAAAGTCCCACTAAGTTTACCAAGACGGACTGCACTGCACAATCTCCAGAATTCTGGCCATTCCTTGGGAAATGTGAACTGGCGGCCACTGCATGCCGGAAAAGCCATGGCCCCAACAACAAATCCAGCCATCATCAGCAGCCCTGCAAGCATCACAGTCCTGCAGATTCTGGATCGAATAAATAGAATGTATAGACTGTGACTATAGACTATAGAATACAAAGATGCGGAGGAAAAAAAACATAAATATTGCAGCTATACATATTCATCAAGAGGAAGGTGAATGACGTCATAACTGCTGATTCAAGCTCCTTCCCATGATGCCTGAAGGCCCCACGGCCTTGGCGATGGAAACTCTCTTATGAAATGGCTTTGGTCAATGCTAGGTCTGACTGGTACGCTCCGGAAATCGAACCTGGCAATGGAAACTCGACATTTTGGAAAAGAAATTGTTCAAAATATCGTCAAAATCATGTCTCAATGGGGTTATTCGCAGGTGCTAGGCCCCTCCAACATTGACAAACACACCTTGTTTCACAGAGAGAACCCCATCATGGGCCTCAAATCAAGAAAGCCCTGGGCCAAGTGGCAGCTGGTAAGCCAATCAGAACAACGGCTGGCTAAATGTATGGACACTTTGGTGGTTTGATTTACTTCATTAACTCCTTTCGCACTGGCCGAGCCAGGAATACCGTGCAAAAACGCATGCCGCATGCATCAACTTGAATCATTTGCATCTCTGTGTTCATTGGAGTCTTTAGAGGCCCTTCCTAGTGGTGTCGATGGTGTGGTGTTTGTTGGCTGTGTCTGGGCATCATGGGCCCTGGTGGCTTGAACCAATCTGGCAGTGTACGGTTAGTGCCTCTAACCCTCTGGCGGTGAGGCGTTCATCAACTGGTGAAAATGGTGTCCATGCCAAGTTGATGGACAACGTCATTCCCTTTTGGGATTCTTGTCCTGTCAATTGATCTGAAGCCAAGCCCAGATGGTCGTCTAGGTCAGCAGCGTCAGCAGAAACCCATACGTACCCAGCCGTGTGTTTTCACAAATGCCACCGCTTTCCGTCTGGAAAGCACAGGCGTTCCAGAGAAAAAAACGGTGAAACCGCGGGCAGAGACTCCGAACAAAAAACTGCCAAATGTATTATCTAGTCCAGAAATCCAACAATGTGAGGTTGTAACACCATCAAGATCTGCCAGCTTTCGATCCAATGATCGATTCAAAAAAAAAACTCTACGTATTTGACCTGGACCTGGAAAAAGATGTTAAAATCCAACATGTCTATGCGTCATCCAAAATCGGAGGCCTGCCAGGGTGAGACACTGTGCAACGCTGCAAGCAGCCCAGGCAAACAACGTCTTTCTTGACTCGTAGAGAACCCTCAGAATCAAAACCATGCTGCTGGGGCTGCAGCCCCATTTTCTCCATTTTTCATCCCACCTATCAAGTCTGCTATGCAGATTGCTTCCCCTCAAAAATCTGAGCAAACCGCTGGAAGAGCGCATCCTGACCTTTTCACTCCTGTGCCTCCTGGAGACAACAGTTTTCAAACCACTAGCTTAACTTGGTTTCTGATACATCGCATTCCAAAAGTTGTCATTCCGAAATGCATGTCTAGAACCCCCCCCCAGTTCATGGCCTCATACATTCATTGGGTTGCAAGCTGAATCCACATAAGAGTAGGGGTCAAAGACTTAGATACCTCAAGAAATGGATGGCTGAAGACTAAAAAAGCCGCCCACGAAATGGCAGCTCCTCGGTCAAGTCGGATCTCTCTGGGGGCACAAAAGCCGGGCAGCCACCACCTTTGTGAGGCGTGCCCGTGGCAGGCCGCAACCTGACCTTCACTCCCCAGGAAATGCTGTTCCACACATGGAAACTGCACTTCTGGCTGGTTGAAGGGATCAACCCAGGTTGGATGAAAAATAAGAGATGTTTTTTTACAGGTAAAAAAAACCGTCAACCAGTTTGATTCTTTGCAAATTTCCAGGGGCGCCAATGCGATGAGAAGATTCAAGAGGGCCGGGACTCGCTTGCACCTGGGAGCATTGCCCTGTGCGAAAAGCCCTTATTCTACTGCGGCACCTGGGAGCATTACACGACCGATTTCCTGCTACTTGTCCTCCCACGAACTTCAAAATGCTGATCAAATGTCCTTCTTTCCCCCCGAAACTGATCCAAAACTATCTCTATGGTTTCCCATTTTCATCGAAGTCCTACATCCGTGCCTCAAGTCAAGAGTTCCCAGGGTCCTAAACACCAGGGCCTATGCTATTTTGGCCGCTGGCTGTGAGACAGCTGCTGTCGGCGCTGCCGAGACAAGTGTGACTTCACGAACCACCACTAGAGAGGACAATTTGTCGCCGCATTCCGGCAGCACCACACTTTCCTGAGCTCGCAACCATGAGCCGGAAGCCAATGTTACCAAAGAATAGGGACCATCAGTCTCGTCACGTTTTGGGGACCCCAGGGACCCCCAGGTTCCCCAAGAAAAACCTAGGTGAAAAAATTAGGCCTTTGAGTTGTTCCAAGTTGCTTACATGTCCATGCAAGGTACCCATCACTCTGAGGCTCTTCCATGAAACCCTGACTTGTGCAAAATCTGTTTTCGGCAAGGTCTCTTGTATACTATCTGCATTTCTTTATATATATCCATATATATATACATATATTTATTTATTTGTTTATTTATTTATATATATATATATTCGGTACGCGTATATGTATGTATAAATACATACAGTATCACGGATATGTGCTGCTGTCAGCTTGCAGCGGCAATAGCACGTTTGCTGCCCGTATTGAATAGTTCCTGTTTGCACTTTGTGGCCCCAAAACAGGGGCCAGATTCTGGACCCAAAATTGGGGCCACAATACGAAAATTAACAGCCCAGCTTCCAAATTTGTGGCCCCAATTTTGCGCCCATGGTATATGCGTTTTTTTGCCTTCTGTAAAAAACGCGTTTAGCTGCGACAGGTTGTTTTTCATTCATGTTTTCTTGCGTTTGGTGCCAGGATGCTGGTTTCACATGCAGAGTACGCAGTGAAGGAAGACAAAAAACATGCAGGCCCACAGCCCCAAAAATGGGCCAGCCAAAGGAACGTTTCAAAAGGTGCAGGGATGCCCGTGCTGTTCTGCAGCAAGCATGCGAGGTTGAACTTTGACTGCCACAAGCAATGCGAAGACATATGCACAGACAGCGGCAGCGTACAGGACCCTGGGCGCAACCCCCGGCACCCCCAGACATCAAAGTTGACTTACTTCCGCACTCTGCAAAGCAGCTACACCAGGAAAGGCAGCAAGACTGGTTTTTGTGAGTGGCAACGTTGATTCCTGGGGAGCAGGGCCATGTTTGCGTGCGCGTATCCACATACATCACGCGGAAGCAGCGTTAAATTAACTAAGAATGTGCTCAAAAGCTACTAAGCACGGTGTCGCATTTCGTATCGGCTGGGCCGCAAAGCTACTAAGAATGCGTTCAGAAGCTGCTAAGGACAATTTCGCAATTCGTATTGGCTCGGCCGCAAGACTACTAAGAAAATGCTCCAAAGAATAAAGCAAATAGTGTCTTCTTCTTTTCTTAAATTTTGAGGGGCATTCTTAATAGTTTTGCATCCGAGCCATTGTGACTTGCAACTCACGCTTTAATGGTTCTTCATGAACACCTTAGTAGTTTCGCATCCGAGCCATTGTGATTCGCAACTCGTGCTTTAGTATTTTTTCACGATATACTTAGTAGTTTCACGTCCAAGCCATTGCGATTCATACCTCATGTCTTGGTAGGTTTTTTCCCCACATCTTTGTGTGGGGTTCTTGTTTTTGATTCTGTATCATCCCAGGTTCTTCCCCGCCTCCCCGCCTCCCTGCCTCCTCCCGCCTCCCGCCACCTCCTCTTCACACACATCTTTCAGGCCAGAAGATATGCCAGATAAAGTGCCAGAATGTTTGCCAGATAGAATGCCAGAAGATATGCCAGATAGAATGCCAGAAGGTATGCCAGATAAAGTGCCAGAATGTTTGCCAGATAGAACGCCAGAAGATTTGCCAGATAGAATGCCAGATAGAATGTCAGAAGATATGCCCGAAGATATGCCAGATAGAGTGCCAGAAGATGTGCCAGAACATATGCCAGAAGATATGCCAGGTAGAATGCCAGAAGATATGCCAGGTAGAATGCCAGAAGATATGCCAGATAGAATGCCAGAAGATATGCCAGATAAAATGCCAGAAGATATGCCCAGATAGAATGTCAGATAGAATGCCAGAAGATATGCCCGAAGATATGCCAGATAGAGTGCCAGAAGATGTGCCAGAACATATGCCAGAAGATATGCCAGGTAGAATGCCAGAAGATATGCCAGATAGAGTGCCAGAAGATATGCCAGATAGAATGCCAGAAGATATGCCAGATAAAATGCCAGAAGATATGTCAGATAGAATGCCAGAAGATATGCCAGTAACAAAACGTATAGATGTCATGGTGGGGATAACTCGAAGTAAAGTAATTTATTCATTTATTTATTGAAAACCACCAGTCTTGGCAACTTAATACTTTGTTTCTGCCAGCTTGAAAGTCTATGCGGAGACGACTGGAATGCAGGACACAAAATGGAAAAGCCCCGGAACCTGAGAATAGGTTTGTGCCAAAATGGTCAAAACCTCAAACCCAACGATTGTCCAACCAACTTCAATCATGTCAGTGGATTTTGGAGCTCCCAAAATTTGGGACATACCTACTTGGGGCCCCAATCCCAGTACGTCCGCTGAGTTTCTTTTCATCGGACCACTTCGTCATCCACTCGGCTGCATCTACATCGCAATCGTGCAGCTGAGAATTTACCTGGCTTCAGGTGCAGCAGTCATACAACTACACCCAGAATCACCCAGATAATCCGAATAAAACATGCGACCTTCCATGCCGGCTTCAAGAACCAAAGCACCATCTGCAGGATGGTTTGCACTTGTTTCCTTGCTAGCAAGATCTAATTACCTGATCACCGCGCCTCCCATCTGGATGATGTCGGAGCCACAGTTGTGGCTCTCACAGCCGCCTCGTTGACCCTCTCTGGGCCCGGCCCTCTGCGACCAGCCGCATCAGCTGCCGGTGCCGCTGTGGGTGCCGCAGTGGGTGCCGCAGTGGGGGCTGCAGTGGGGGCTGCAGTAGGGGCTGCAGTTGGTGCTGCAGTGGCCACAGGGGCGGCGACAGTCGGCTCTGCAGGAGGTCTGATATCCATGGTAGCTGGAGCTTCTGTGGTTTCCTGCGCGGTCGCATGGCATGGAAATGTTCCGGTTGATCCCCACTGCGCATACCATTCTGCAAAAGGGATAGTTTTCCAGTCCAACTTCTGCATTGGATCTGAAGTGCCATGACCCAGGATGGTGTAGCAATTTTTGGAATGTATGGTTGGAGCAGTGAGAGCGACTCAACTATCGACCATCAGTCTCAATCTGCGAAAAGAAAATACCTTCGAAAACATGTGCTTAACAGTTCTGCATCAAATGCCTGTTTGTTGGAAAATTTAGGGTCAAAACATCTTGACTCTTGACTCTTGACTGTTAAACTGTCTGTGAAAACCATAGCAGAATAACTCATTTATACGTACCTCTGGGCACTTTGGAGACAATCTCATCTACTAAACAAACCTGCTTACTTACAAATGTCCATGTTTGTTCCATTTTCTGTGGTATTTGTCACCCAAATGAAAGAAATGACCCTGAATGTTAAACCCTCCATGTTGGAATCTTCCGGTCATGACGTCCTTCAAACAGGTCCAATTACTCGCTGAATCGCTGTCACTTCCCATCTCCCATGCCCCAGGGACCTCATTCACGCAATGGATGTCCTTGAAGCCACATTCCCGACACCTTGGTCCGCAAGCGCCACTGCCTCTTGATGAGGGGCAGTGCACAGCCTTGATGCTGGGCCCACAAGGCCCGGACTCATCTTGGCAACGATCTCGCATGAGACTGTAGGCCTAGCTCCAAAGTGGGTCCCCTGTCCAGGTCTTCCCAGCACCTACATCCTGCAGCTGTCTCCTACAACCATGTTGACATGACGGACCCAGCAAACTTTCAGATGTTACAACGCCATGGCTAGCCTTGGATTCTCCACAAATCCCAGGTTCATTTCAGTGGGAGATGCTTCTGCACTCTTCTACAAGCCAGTTGAATCACCCAATCTGACCACGTCTGTCCCGCCCAGAACAAAACCAAGCTCTGTTAGATCCTTCCCACCAGCCTTGAGGCATGAATGCGGCTGATGGTTGAAGGCAATCCTATGCCACCAAAATCCAACCAACTGAATGAGCGTGAAGATCCAAAGAAACAACATGAAACCACTGCCGCACAACATTGAAACAATAACTTGGAAGCCCAATTTGGGAAAGAAGTATAACAAACAAAGTCAATAAATGCGGAACCTCCATTGAAGACACTTTACCAGTGCTTCAAAATGTTGGTGTTTCTTCACGTGAAGTTGTTCCATTTACTTCGGCCCCGCACCTGCTAAAATCTTTCACCCAGTCTTTGCAGGTCAAAACCACAGTGTCCAAATAGCACTCCTTCCTGCACACGGACTGAGGCAAAACTACCTTCACTCCCCCAGGAATGACAAAGCCAAAGTCAGTTGGGATCCCTGTTTTGAGGGACGGAAAATACTTTGAAACATTGATGCGACCACATCCCGTTCAACCTGCTGAGGATCCAAAAGCGTATATCAGGGGACAGTGCACTTCAGTCAAGGGCTCAGAACATCCATGAATGAGCATTCGCTGATGAAATTGCCATGCGCCTAAACACAAAATAAATGACCCGTGTTTTTGAAGGCTGCTAGCCCAGTGGCACTTTGCCACCCACATCAGTGCATGTCTGTGAATGGCAAATTGTGCACACAAGCAGCTGGCATGGTTCACCACTAAAAGATTACCAAAATCTGCTTGGTGGTTTACCATACCATTTCTCTCGACATGTTGGTTTTAAAAACTGTGTTCTCTTTTGATCTAAACACTACTATATAGCTATTAGTTTGCCCGTACGGTATCATTTGGTCACTGGTCTGGTTTGCGGGCCTGGTATTTTGCCTCATCCCATCTGCCCCGATGTTTCGACCCGTTTCCCTTGAACGCGACCATCTCCGCACCTGCAGCTTTCGGAGGTGACGTGTTCGTCGCCCCTTGCCAGCTCACTGCTGGCACTGCTGACCTTCAGGTGTTCTTTTTGCCAGCTGAGAATAGGCCACCGGAACACCAACGAACGAAAGAGAAAATGAAATTATGCAAAATAATGAAGTGGAGATTGCATCACTATTTCCCAGTCCCAAAATTCATGTGAGAAGAAAATACGCCCGGTGGAAGTTATCGTTGGGGGTGGGATTCATCGTATACATGCAGGCCTGTTGCTAGCAAACAAAGCTGGCAACTTGAAATCACGGAGATTTGTATGTAAGAATAAAGGAGGAACAACATCCACCAAAAACTAAGAATTGTCCAGGTCCTCAGTGGGGTAACCTCGGTTGATGTCAACCTTGCGATGCTTGGAAAGACTTCTGACTACTGAGCTGAGCAGTGATGACAGGGGAATCCTCAAGCTTGAGGAACTTCACCACTTGTCTGTATATCTCCTTGCTTCTTGAATGATCTCAAGCCAGTGAGGTTGGGAATGATCATCCTATGAAGCCCAAGCGACGGCGTAGTTTAAACCACCCATCCCACCAAACAAAGTCAAGATTTGCTTCGAACCAACATTCAAAGATGAGGATATCAGGGATAATCACTGATACTGAGCCACAAATCCAAGGTCCCTTTCCTAGACTCCTATGATTGGGTGATGCAAGGGCAATCTGCCAGTTGCACGCACCTCCACTGGCCCATCGCCATCTGCCTAACAACACGTGGCTCGGGTCCCCTTTCAAAAACATTCAAGAACCTGCTGAACCACCTGTCTTTCATCGTGATTTGACATGTCCACACAACCAAGGTTGGCCAACGCCCCCAACCTGCGTTGCGTCTTTCAAGACCTTGGCCATGCCCTTGAAGATCTGCGCAGAAGGCGAAGTTGGGGTCACAATGGGAAGTTGGGGTCTCGCATCTCCCATGGTCACCCCCAGGGCCTCCTTGGCCTCGCTACTGGGCTGTGGCTGTGGGTGCGGCCCAAAGGGCCACCAACCGAAGAGGCCCCCAGCAGTGCTTTCCACCTCGTCCTGGCGTGGAAAATGAGTGGTTAATTGGTTTATATGTGATGCAACCCATATAATGAAAATCATATCAATCCATTTATCACCTGTTGATAGAATAGCCTAGTCATCCCGTTCAGTGATCAGTATTGGATTATTAGTTAGTGATATATATATATCCAATTAGCCTATTAGGCAACAATATGATCGAGTGAGTACATAAAAGACGGGTGAATATTACCCTCCGGTAATCAAATTTGGCTAGCTGGAAAATCGTCTAGAGCCGAGGAAATCATTGAACTAAATGGGGAATTGTCCACTGCCACGTTTGATTGCCGGAGGATATATATATATATGATTCTATGATGCTATAATGGGAATATATAATATAATTGGAATATTATATAATATTATTATATAATACGGTGGGATAAAACTAGCAAGAATGGGATATATTGATACACTGGCCGGAAAGCCTAAGTCCCATGAAATATGGCGGGTTCGTGATTTTCTTCCCTGAGACCAATTCTGGGAATGTTGCAGGGCCACTCTGGGTTTTGATCATATTCATATTGTTATCATTGGGAAATGAGGAGCTGAAGAGTCAAACATCAAACCAAACGCAAGTCAAACTGCAACTATGGTACAGTGGTTGTAATCTTTTAGCTACTGTATACCGGTTGGTTGTGAAGAGGGGTGATCACCATTTGGAAAAGGTATCTAGGATGCACGATGCCGTAAACTGCCCTCAATTCTCAAGCATGTAGGGGTATGGTGAGTCATCCCAGTTGTTATACGACAAGGTCACCATTTTGGATGATTTGCACTCCAGATCCAAGCCCACCATCTGCAGACATCTCTCCGGAAACCATTCGTTTTCTGTATCTATGTTAGTTTCCCTCATACTCCAACCACAGTAATTGTCATTGCCTGGTGATCCTGGTGGCCGCAACCGAGGCCGTGCTTGGCACAGCACCTGGGGATTTCTGTCTTGTAATATGGGTATTCAACTAACTCACCCCCCCAAAAAAAAAAATACTCTTAGCGAACCACCAGGGCGATTTGACCCACCAAAATATGGGATTTCATTTCACCAGCGCAAAGAAATACACTTGAGGCCAAGGGGTGAAGAACGAAAGCTAGCAGAGTGGTGCAACGAGGAGGAAGAGGAGGAGGAGCAAACATGAAGATGATGAGATTGCTCGTATCAACAAGACATGCATCCATGAAGCTGACAACAATGAAGACAAGCAGCTGCGGTGACTATGACGGTGGTAGTGGCACTGGTGACGATGCTGATGATGCTGATGATATGTGACGACGACGACGACGACGACGATGATGACAACAACAATGGCCATGGGGAGGACTGAGCCCCACCAAAACTGCTTCCAACATAGCAAGGGGGTTGGGGGGGAAGTTAACTTTAAAATTTCACGTGGTTGGCGATTCCAGCCCCTCCCAATACCTTGCTAAAGCAAGAAGAACTTCAGCTAGCTTTCGTGATGATTTCACCAATCAGAATATTGGAGTCAACCAGGGCCGCCACCCGGTACTTATCTCTGGGGCGCAGGGGGCGGTCTCAATTGCTTGACGTACATTCTGGGAAGTTTGTCGAAGCAGCTAGCTTCACCCGGCCAGAAGCCCAAACAACAACTTGACAACCAAGTGGGTATTATGATGTATCACAAGCTGCCTACAGCAATCTTATATACTAGATACCTGCACCCTGCAACAGATAGAAGCCTCTCACCCACCATTCACCAGTCAGTTTACCATGTCAACACGAGGACCAAGGGGCCAATTCTTCTTCGTTGGTGGCCAATCCTTCACAGGCCGTATATCCTTGCGGCAGTCCTCAGCTCAGGGGCCATTGGCTTCCGGGAGACCTGCTATACGTTGAGCTGGGACATCTGGTGAACCCACGCAATCCCGAATCAGTTCGAAGTCAGTCGTAGGTGCCTGGCTACAATCCTCCCCTGACAGAGTAGATGGATTTTGGGAGGCCCAAATTTTGAAGGTCCTAAAACTGTGGGATCACGATAGAGAATCCCCTGATGGACTCGATTGGAGATCTACTGTGCCACCAAAGTTTGTCCTACGAACCAAAAGTCATCCACCAAGTGGCTGCCGGGTATTAACTATACGAATACCATCTAATGACTACAGTACTTTTGAAAAAATGCTATCTCATACATTCCAATACTGCCAATACTCTATTGGCTGGTGAGATTTCCAGAACGTCCGCTCCAGGTGCCGAACGTAGGGAGGCTTTAGGCGACAGTCGCCACCCTTGCCCTTCATCTCGCAGCACCACCTGTAAGGTGCATCTTGGAGTAGATACCCTCCGGTGTCAAACATGGCAAGCTGGGAAATCTTCGAAAAATGGAACTTTTTATGGGAACAAAAGGAAAACATGGGGAAAAACATGGGGAAAGTCCTTTATAAATGGAGGTTTTACTGGGAAAATCATCGACCTGAATGAGAGATGTCCCATTGCCATCTTTGATTGCCAGAGGGTAGAAGATAGAATTTTCAACCATATTCCCATTTTGGTCAGGATTAAGTAACATTTCCATATCATATTTCCTCTACGCCCCAGGATGACTATATTTATCTGTCTATCGGTCTGCTGTCCTACGAACTAAGTAACATACTCACTTACTCACTAACTAATCGAATAAAATCCAATCGAATAAAATCTGATATAATTATCTTACCTTGTCTTGCCTCGGCCATATCTATCTGCTTACACCTATGTCTACACCTGTATACACCGAGATAGCATGTTTTCTGGACATGCATCTACGCAGGCATGCCTCTGCTGCTCCACCGTCCAGGTCAGTTCATTCCCGTCACAGTGGAAGCAGCCGACGCCATGATGTTTGCCTTAGTGCACAGGTTCGTTCTCCCCTAGCAGTGCTTTTCGGGCTTCAAACACCTCTCCAACTGTTGGATTCCGAAAACCCTGGCCACCCAAAAATTTTGGGGGGGCCCTTAAAGCTACGGCACCCTGAAGCCATCCAAGTGTTGATGGGGGTCCCCAGGGCCCTAGAGCCCTCAAGCCCAGGTGCAACAAAAGTCCATCTTCTCGGGAGACCACCCGACCTCCCAGACGTCCATGCCAGCCTGTCATGGCAACTGGGCTACACAAGATGAACCTTCAATCCACCCATGACCAGAAATGGGTTGGATTGAACCCAAACATAACCAGACCAAAACCGGCATTAGATGGATTCATGACAATGTTTCAGAAGATGGTAGTTAGGTATTTTAGTAATTGCGTCGAAACAGAGGTCACAAAACACAGATCAAACCACAACAGAAACACAAGATTGCACAAGCCCATGGTTCATGGTGGATTGCTAGATTCAGCTCACCATCACGTGAACTAGAAATAGACGTGTGAATTTCAAGAAAAGGAAATAGAAAGGAGGGAGACTGGACCTGCTATGATGGGCCACTCAACACACTTCTAACTTCTAAGTGGTTTAGTTCGCCCCATTCCACTGAGATAGAGCTGCAGAGCTCATCACTCACACCATCGGGTGCGCCTTGATGCTGCCCCGGTTCTTTCCGAACTGTTTCAGCATGGCCAACTTCAGACCCACGGCCTGGCGATGTGCCCGGGATTGCCTTTTGTGGAAAGGTTTCCGATCGACCTTCACTGCCTACTGTTCGTCACACTGCTACTGTGTGTGTGTGTGCGTGACTGTATGTGACTGTGCGTGTCTGTCTATGTCTGTTGTGAGTGGGAGCCGGGCACGTGCCAAGTATTTAACTTTGACTTTGGCTTAAGGGTAACATCCAGTTCAGCCCTGGTTCTGGATGGAACTTGCTGAGTGATTTGGGGACTCCCTAAAATTTCCACCCGCCTGACAGTCAAAACTTGGGGGCGCAGCCGCCATCGATAGTGAGACCTGAGCTCATCCACTAGGATCGATAACTCCAAGAAGCCGTTCCTTAGCAAACCTGCATCCACCTGTCTGTGACGGTTCTTAACAGGCTTAACCCAATCCAAAAGCAATTACAGAATCCAAACTCCAAAGGGGAACACTTTGTTGTACATGATGCCTACCGATTTTGGCAAGTTGAGGTGGCGCGGTAGGCCTGGCTTTAGGCACGGGGCCCACATCCCCTCCAATCAAACCAAGGAGCTGGAGTGAGTGCCACTACCAGCAGCAGAGCAGCCAGCGCTCCACAGACTCCACAGCCCCAAACCAGAGGATTCGCGCCTTTGGTCAGCTCCCCCAGGGGGGGGCGGCTTCCAGGTTCAATTGATTTGGTTGACCATATTTGATCAGTAGATTATGTATCCATAATTCGGGCATATATATACATTGGACATATATATATATATACAGTGTATATATATATAAATTTAAATACCCACAAACTTACCACTGATAGGTGCAGTGGCCTCTCGAGCTGAGGGTTCGACATACCTGACAGAGTCTTGGACAGCGCGACTGACCTCTGCAGCCAATCACTTGGGCACATCTACTGTGAAACCACCTAGTTCAGTGAGAGCAGGGTCTATCACTGTGACATTTAGCAAAACAGATTACATAATTAATATATTGACTGTATGTTGGTTGCAATGACTTTACTTCCTGGGATGTTTGTTTTAAATATGGTGTGGATCATATCGAGCTGCCCCACAGAGCCACGATGCTTCTGACTATCAATTGCTACGTAAGGAGTAGAGCTCAACTGTGAGGTTTCCCTGCCGTAACACCCCAGTGTGAAGATCCATTGTGTGACAAAGGGTGCGGCCGTGCATATTCCTCTGTGATACTTTCCGAGTTCTGTTCCTCCGATGAATCCAAAGAAAATATTGACTGGTGGACAGTCCCTGGAGAAATCAAACACAGGAATGACCACAACCAGACAAACCCAAAACCATAAACCAGGCCCAATCTTACAATTGTCCAATTTTCGGGCTATCGTGGATCATAGTCAGGTGGAGTTTACTGTTGGGTCCCATGTTTGTAGTTTCCCCTGTCCTCCCACTGGCTCTGGCACCTTCGTCCCCCGGCTCAGGCTTTCGGGCCTGGGGTGACCAACCACAAGGGAGATGATGCTGGTTCTGGTGCTGGTGCTGGTGCTGGCGCTGGTGCTGGCGCTGGTGCTGGCGCTGGCGCTGGTGCTGGCGCTGGTGCTGGCGCTGGCGCTGGCGCTGGTGCTGGTGCTGGTGCTGGTGCTGATGTTGATGTTGTTGTTGATGTTGTTGTTGTTGTTGTTGTTGTTGTTGCTCTTGTTCTTGTTCTTGTTGTTCTTGTTCTTGTTCTTGTTCTTGTTCTTGTTGTGGTTGTGGTTGTTGGTTGTTGGTTGTTGTTGTTGTTGGTGATGATCTTGTTGATGATGATGATGTTGTTGATGATGTTGTTGTTGTTGTTCTTGTTCTTGTTCTTGTTCTTCCTGTTCTTGTTGTTCTTGTTGTTGTTGTTGTTGGTTGTTGTTGTTGTTGTTGTTGTTGTTGTTGTTGTTGTTGTTGTTTTTGTTTTTGTTGTTGTTGTTGTTGTTGCTGTTGTTGTTGTTGATGATGTTGATGTTAAAGTTGATGTTGATGTTGTTGTTGTTGTTGTTGCTGGTGGTGGTGGTGTTGTTGGTGGTGGTGGTGGTAGTGGTGGTGTTGGTGTTGGTGTTGTTGCTGGTGCTGGTTCTGGTGCTGGTGCTGGTGCTGGTGCTGTTTGTGGTGCTGTTGCTGTTGCTGTTCCTGGTTTCTGTTGCTGTTGCTGTTGCGGTTGTGCTGCTGTTGCTGTTGCTGTTACTGTTGCTGTTGTTGTCGTTGTCGTGGATGATGATGATTTGATTGATTGATTGATTGATTGATTGATTGATTGATTGATTGATTGATTGATTGATTGATTGATTGATTGATTGATTGATTGATTGATTGATTGATTGATTATGATTGATTGATTATGATTGATTGATTATGATTGATTGATTATGATTGATTGATTATGATTGATTGATTATGATTGATTGATTATGATTGATTGATTATGATTGATTGATTATGATTGATTGATTATGATTGATTGATTATGATTGATTGATTGATTATGATTGATTGATTGATTGATTGATTGATTGATTGATTGATTGATTGATTATGATTGATTGATTGATTGATTGATTGAACGATTGATTGATTGATTGATTGATTGATTGATTGGTTGATTGATTGATTGATTGATTTGATTGATTGATTGGTTGGTTGGTTGCTTGCTTGATTGATTGATTGATTATGATGATGATGATGATGACGACGACGACGACGACGATGACGATGACAATGACGATGATGATGACGATGGCGATGACGGCGACAGTACTTCCAACAAAGAAGATCGCACGAATGCTACCAGAGATTATTTCCAAGACAAAATCTGTGTAGGATTTGACATCGAAAAAGACACTTCCCCACCTTTGACTCGCGCGAGCTGCTTGCGCCAGAGGGAATCTGGAGTGGAACGAGGTATATATTGAGCTTAAAATTGATGTTGGGGGTTAGGCAGGCCAAAAAAATGATTAGTCATTGGAATGCCTAACAATTTGAGGATATATTCAGCTTTTCGTTTGATGTACTGTCAACTTCCAGGAGTTATCGTATCTGTATAGCTGATGCCCATAAACCACTCGGAGCGAAGGAGCCGGGCTGTGTATCCCTGGAAGGTTTATAGTGCAAGGCCCACAACAAGTGCTACAACACATGGTCACTTTAGGCTTCTTTTGTGGTGCTTTCTTTTGCGGGACAGCCATCCTGCATGGAGAGACTGGTTGATGGAGAAGATGAGCACTTGGCCACAGCGCATTGGCTAAATTTCAGACACTTCCATGTTTCGGGCTGATGCCCAAGGGTTTGGAGATTCATCATGCCACTTGTATCCATTCTTAGGCTTCGAATTGAATTTCTTTGAAGAAACAGAGGCACTTTATAGCTGTTAAACCACCAAGATGTAAACTTGAGACCATCAGCCACCAGGCCGTCTCCCGCCACCTGCTTGATGAGCATGCGTCGTTCAGCACGACCATCCTCAATCCGCTCAACTTCCACCGCATCCTGGCGCTAAAGCACACTGGTGAACTAACATAGCAATGGAAAATCACCATTTTTAATGGGAAAATCCACTATAAATGGCCATTTTCAATTGCTATGTTAGTTCACCAGAGGGTATTCGTTTTATCTTTGAATGGGAATACAGGGTCTGTATACAACCTGGAAATGGTGCTTTATCTCCTGGTTGGTGGTTCCCTGCACCCTAAAGTTGGGTCAAACAAATGACCGGTATCGATATTGATCGTGATGAAAGACTGCAATGAAAACTGTTCAATACGAGGAGCCATTTGTCCTCGGATTTTTCTTGGTATATTGTAGTGCTGATTACCCTCGATTCCTATCAACGGCCTCCCAAAAAAAACTTCCTGCTGAATCCACCGCACAGTTGTTTCAGTGTGTGGCTAAAGGAATTCACATTCGAAAAACATGAAGGCGAAAATCGAAATGATGTCAATGGGATCTTTAAAAAATGATCAAAATAAATCGTTGGAAGGACAAGTCGCGCTTGTTTTAAAGATCTTGACAAACAGGTCTCTGCAACCAGGCCAACTTGAGCGACCCCCAGCGCTGTGACCTTCAACTTCTACCTTTTCAAACTTCCTATGGTGGCATTGGGTGATCTGAGTCAAAACAAAATACAACAAACATACCACGGATGATGCATCCCAGTGGCCCCAGTGTAGACACCGAAGCAGGACTCAGTGGCCAAGGCTGGGCAACCACAACTGTTGGAACAATGGTTACCCTCCAGAAATCAATCATGCCCGGGAAATCCCCCAAACTAAATGGCCACTTCGAATTTGGAAAATTATCGAATCAAAATGAATTAAATGGGAAGTGTCCAGCAAGCGGTGTTGGACCAGATGCTAAGAACAAGCCTCGTTACTTTGGAATTGAGGTGATGCTAAGAATCCTCTGGGTCGCCCAGACGGGGCCGCACGCTACGACTTGACCCATGTCCTGACGTGGCAGGATTAGGGACGTCTGCAGCAGGAACTTGGGAAAAATGTCTGTTCTTGGCTCAAACTTTGAAACCTAAGCAAAATGAGACGTCTGGGCTTAAATGAATGTATATTTTCCATCATTTTCCCATCTAAATGGCTATATATTCTACAGGTGCAGTTTCCCATCTTCACGAACTGCCGGGCCTCGTCTCAGGAGGTGAGATATGAATTCCATGAGAACTTCCGGATTTTTTGGGCCGTTCTCACTGAGCCGTGAAACCATGACTTTTCCTCATGAAAAAAAAAACTGACTGCAGGGAGCTCCCCAACATCCCCAACCAAATACGGCAAACAAAAAGATGTTACTGGTGTATATACATTACATGTATGTATATATCATATACATATGTATGTGTAATGTATGTATGTATGTATATATATATAACAAATATATACCGTGTATTGTATATATATATATATATATGTGTGAACGCGCGTGTGTATATATATATATGCACATACACACATGTATGTATAATATAATATAATATAATATAATATAACATAATATAACATAATATAATATAATATAATAAAATATAATAAAATATAATATAATATAATATAATATATATATATATATGTATATATATGTATATAAGTAATGTATCTCAAACAATGGATTGCAAATTATAATCTCTGGGTTAGATTTCGGGGATCCCAATCTTTGCACATGCCTCTGGGGAAGTTGCCTGAAGCAGTAAAGTTGAGTTGCAAGTTAGAGCAATATCCATGCTCAGCAGCGAGAATTCCCAGGGTTCGGGGCAACACGCCCATCGCTCACTGTCAAATCAGTTCGCACAACCTGGGTGTTCCCAAAATGGTTGGGCCCAAAGACAACTCTACTGGTGGTTTATTATTGTTTTGTCCTCTATTGTGGGGCACCATTCACCTTCACGCATGTCCTTTCAATCTGGCTGAATTGTAAATTATATATATAATTGTAAATAATAATCATCATCATCATCATCATTATTAGTATTATTATTATCATCATAATTCACTAACCTGAAAGTAGCTGAAACGATGCCATTTGGGGATGATTCCCCTTCTCCTAAGCATATTCCATATATTTCCATATGAGTTCATTATGATTCATCCAGATCCAATTGGTGGACCCTCCAATTGGCTCCGGCCGCTTTTCTTCTGCGCGTTTTCATCAGCCGAGCAAGGCCTGCCTCCGGGGAGCGTCAGGAACTAGAGGCCCCCTAGAGAGCTGAGTTAACTTACAACTTGGTTAACTAGGGTTTATGGAGAATATAACTAAAATCATGGGATTCCAAACGAACTGGCCAGTTGATGAAGATTCTGATGATTATTGATGGTATGATGATTCAGATTCATATGATTCGTGACACTTGCTAAAGTAGCAATTTAAATGGCCGAATTGATAAAGGGTGTGAAATAGTTTTAGGATTTTTTTTTGAGCAGGTTTGAGAATTTTTTTGGGATTTCTTGGCTGGTACCATTTGCCTAGTGTTTGCAACGGTTTGGAACTTGAATTTGTCATTTTGCATGGTATTTGCCACATTTGGGCATGTTCACCTTCCATTTTGCATGGGATTTACTACATGTGGGCATGTTCACCTTCCATTTTGTATGGTATTTGCCACATTTTGGCATGTTCACCTTCCATTTTGCATGGGATGTTCTACATGTGAGCATGTTCACCCAAATATTTACAGATGCGGAAGCTTGGGATTAGATAAAAAGCGGGTGGGGGGGATTGAGGGAGGGCGCTAGCTATCTATCCAGCTAGCTAGCTATCTAGCTATCTAGCTAGCTATCTATCTAGCAAGCTAGCTATCTATCTAGCAAGCTATCTATCTATCTAGCTATCTATTTACCTATCTAGCTAGCTATCTTGCTAGCTATCTTATCTAGCTATCAAGCTAACTATCTATCTAGCTATCTATCTATCTATCTAGCTATCTATCTTCAGCTAGCTGTCTATCCAGCTATCTAGCTATCAGCTATCTAGCTAACTATCTATCTAGCTATCTAGCTATTCTTGCTATCTATCTAGCTATCTATCTATCTAGCCATCCAGCTGTCTATCCAGCTATCTAGCTATCGAGCTATCTAGCTAACTATCTATATAGCTATCTAGCTATCTAGCTTTCTATCTATCTAGCTATCTATCTATCTAGCCATCCAGCTGTCTATCCAGCTATCTAGCTATCTATCTAGCTATCTATCTATCTAGCTAACTATCTACCTATCTATTTAGCTATCTATCTATCTATCTATCTAGCTATCTATCTAGCTACCTCTTTATCTATCTAGCTAGCTATCTATCTAGCCATCTATCTATCTAGCTATCTATCTAGCCATCTATCTATCGAGGTATCTAGCTATCTATCTCTCTAGCTATCTATCTATCTAGCTGGCTATCTATCTATCTAGCTATCTATCTATCTATCTAGCTATCTATCTACCAAGCTATCTATCTATCTATCTATCTATCACATGTAAACCTGTCAGCTTTCCAGAGAAGGTTAGTTCGCAAAAACCAACTAATGTAACTTGGGTTTAAGTTTAAATAAAAAAAAACGGGAGGGGGGGATTGGGGGGAGGGCGCAGCGCCTCCCCCCAAAGCAGAATGCAAGCACCTCTTCTCACATGTTACGTTGCTAGTTTTCAAGAGAAGGTTGGTCATGTGATACTCAGGGATGTAAATACTGTGCAAAATGCATCTTACATGAAAATCAAGTATTTAAAGCAGGCAAAGCAAAAAAAAAAAAGCAGAGAAGCAAAAAAGCAGAGAAGCAAAGAAACAGGAAACGCACAAAAGCAAAACAGCAGAAAGGCAAAGAAGCAGGAAAAGCAGAAAAGCAGAGAAGCAGGAAAAGCAGGAAAAGCAGAGAAGCAAAGAAACAGGAAAAACAGAAAAGCAAAAAAGCAGAAAAGCAGAGAAGCAGAGAAGCAGGAGAAGCAGAAAAGCAAAAAAGCAGAAAAGCAGAGAAGCAGAGAAGCAGGAGAAGCAGAAAAGCAAAAAAGCAGAAAAGCAGAGAAGCAGAGAAGCAGGAGAAGCAGAAAAGCAAAAAAGCAGAAAAGCAGAGAAGCAGGAAAAGCAGGAAAAGCAGGAAAAGCAGGAAAAGCAGGAAAGCAGAGAAGCAGGAAAAGCAGGAAAAGCAGAGAAGCAGGAATCCAAAAATAATTCCTAAACCTGATCAAAAAAAAAATCCTAAAATAATTAGCCCTCCATTGATAAAACCTCTTTTTACAATGGTTCAACTTGTGCAAACTACACCCATTACAGTAAAGGTCTGTATTCTCCTGGGCCAAGTCCGGCCAAGATTTGACTCCGAAGCCCCTCCCAAGCTGCATCACTCTTTTGTCATACCTCTTTAAGCCTCTTAGGCCATCTGTGGAACATGATCACCTTGGGCCAGAGCCCGGCCCACAACATCTGGACCTGTAATCCAGACATCGCATCAACGAATTAAGCTGCACCAAGTAAGACGCAGATCTGCAAAGTCGCATTGTCATTGGGTGAAGACCACACCTCGCAGCTCAAAAGTTGAAAGTTGAGGAGCAATCTTGCACCACATGCAAAAGCCCGTCACGGATACCCCATCCTGAGCCTTTACCAAGGAGGAGGATTTGTGTGTCTGTGTTGAGAGCATTTCCAAGGTTAAGGGAAGGATTTGATCATGAACGGCAATGAACGGCACCTTTTTTATCTAGCTCTCTCTCCCTCTCTTTTTATCTCCCAAAGTCCACGTTTCATCGCCAGGCGGCATTGTCTTTAAAGCTCGTCTCTGGGCGGATGCATCGGTGCGATGCACTCGCAAACGTTCTTGTTCTCCTGGCAGGACATCTGCGAGATTCAACATGGAACCGGAGCAAAAAATATCCCCAAAACACGTGAGCTGCGCATGGAATCCGGTCATTTGGCACATAAGTATTGTGACAGGGATGGGGGCGGTTCATCCAATCCCCCTAGGCCCTAGTATTTTCACCTCTTTTGAACGAAACCATCTCCACTCCTGACTGATTCTCCAGTAAATCATGCAAATGTTCGCAGACCATCTTTGCCTAGAAAGAACATTCAACAACAAGAAAAATGTACCATTCTTCCAACAAAAAAAGGGATGTAGTCCGGCTAATTCCAACAATTCACCATGCCCACCAGGGCTTCATATTATGAAATTGGATACACTCCTTGTCAAATGTGATGGAAAAGGAAAATGACCCCCGCCCCCAGGCAGATCTCCTTGGTCTCCAGGTCCTCATCATATCGGAAGCGCAGGATTGGAAACCTGGCCACTGCGCCAATGCCGGCCCCAGAATGTCGGGATTCAAAGTTTGGATTTCGAAAACAATGCAGAGTTTAATATAGATGGCCTGTAGAAGGTGAGCATGTTATAAGTTATAAGGGTTCGTTTCTGACAAAGTGGGAGGAGCTCATGCCACCCCGCTGAGCCATGCACTTGGCATCGGGACATGAGTGCGTAAGGCCATTGTCATCCCAACAGGGGTGGGTTCCTGAGCCAACAGCCGGCTACGGCGGCTACGGGATTAAGTGAGGATTCCCTGAACCAAAGGGACCCAGCGTCGTTGGTGGTGCTCCCCCTATCTGACAGTGCATGGGATCATCCCAATTTTCAGGGCTCAAACATCATTGAAGCAGCTGACCTGCTGAGGAATTTCCTTTGCCAAAGTCTGGATCCTTTGTTTTCTAGGTATCCTCCTAGATGAATTTGGAACATGTCCAAGCTTCGGCAAATGCAAGTCTGTTTCTCCTCGTCATAGTCCAGGATTGGATGCTCTGGGGTACAGTGCGAGTCTTTGCACAGATCCTGATGAATGACCGAATGACCTACGACCTGGGATGGGGACCTCACGCGAGCCAAGGACCCCAAAACTGGGAGGGTTGGTACACAACTACCAGAAACGATCCAACCTCTCCAGCTTTTTGGACCCTGTTGGGTTGAATCATTGAATCCATGGCCACGGTATATCGGCGTCCTTGCTGAGGTACACCGACTTGTAGTTGGGTTCCTTGCTGCAACCACAGTTGAGCTTCCCCTGGGAATCATGATAGAAGCTCAAGTACTTGTCCTCAGTCATGTGAGAAGGACTCTCCAGCAGTGAAAGTCAAAATGTGTTGGAACTCATTGAGGCCGGTCAATGCACCAAAGCTGTGGATAGGACCACGAGATTATGTGTGATTATATGTATATGCACA